GGGGGGGGAGGAGGGGTGGTGGTGTTCCCCAGCCCCACTTGTACCCTCTCACAGTCTGGGACCCCTCAGGAGATAATGACCTGCTGGCATAGGCCCGCTCCCGGGTGGCAGAGGGCAGGCCCAATCCCTAGGTGCAGCCCCTGGTCGGGCTCAGAGAAGGGCCGACTGGGGAGTTGGGGCGCTGCCCCCTGTCATGCCCAGAGCAGGGCGGATCGGGAGGTTGCGATGCCACCCCTAGTCACGCTCAGGGTAGGGCCGATTGGGAGGTTGGGGCGCCGCTCCCTGTCACACTCAAGGCAGGGTTGATGGGGAGGTTGAGGCGCCACCCCATGTCACACACAGAGCAGGGCTGATCAGGAGGTTGGGGCGCTGCCCCCTGTCATGCACAGAGCAGGGCCCATCAGGGGGTTGGGGAACTCCCCCCTGTCACACACAGAGCAGGGCCCATGGGGGGGTTGGGGCACCGCACCCTGTCACACACAGAGCAGGGCCGATCAGGGGCCTGGGGCGCCTTCCCCTGTCACGAACAGAGCAGGGTGGATAGGGAGGTTGTGGCCCTGCCCCCTGTTACACACAGAGCTGCAGGGCGATCAGGGGGTTTGGACGCTGCCCCTTGTCACGCTGCTCCAGGGGCCAAGAGGCCTGGAGGCTCTGCTTAACACCGGGGCAGTGAGGCCTCGCTGCTCAGCTGATCCCAGTGCTAGGAGCCTTTGCTGCTCCACTGATCCCGGTGCTGGGAGGCCTCGCGGCTTCGCTTGACACAGGGGCAGTGAGAGCAGGGCTGATCAGGGGGTTGGGGCGCCTTCCCCTGTCACACACAGAGCTGCAGGGCGATCAGGGGGTTTAGGCGCTGCCCCCTGTCATGCTGATCCTGGTGCCAGGAGCCTTGCTGCTCTGCTGATCCCGGTGCCAGGAGGCATATTACCCTTTTACTATATAGGATAGAGGCCTGGTGCCTGGGTGGGGGCCAGCTGGTTTGCCCTGAAGGGTGTCCTGGATCAGGGTGGGGGGTCCCCACTGGGGTGCCTGGCCAGTCTGGCTGAGGGGCTGAGGGCTGTTTTCCGGCTGGCAGGTGACTAAAAGCTCCCAACTGCTCCTTGTTGTCTTTTCTTTTCTTTTTTTTTTTTTTAATTCTGTGCCAGCTTTAGCTCTGAGGCCTCGCTGCTGAAAACATCGATACAATGTTGCGGTCCGGGGCTGACTGAAAGCCAGTTTCTGGGGGTTTGTTTAGCTTCTATATTTGCAACATAGTACATAGTTACTTAGAGTTGCAGCTGAGAGGCCGGCAAGTTAGGCGGGGAACATTGGAGTCTGCAGCCCCTGGAGCAAGCAAGCCTCATGTTCGCTTCCAGCTGCCTGGCTGCCGGCCGCCATCTGGGCTGACAGTTAATTTGCATAAGGATATGCTGATTAGCCAATGGGAAGGGTAGCGGTCGTACGCTAATTACCATGTTTCTCTTTTATTAGTGTAGATATGCATATAAATATGGGTACATGTAGGCCATATTTTTCTCTTTAAAAAAATAGGATAATATTAGCATAGGTTCTCGTTATTATAGCCTGAGCCAATGTGTACCATAAAGAGAAAGAACTTCTGATGACTCGGGTATCTATCACCCTCTCCGCCTCAGGACCTATTCATCTGCAACGCACCTTCATCCAAGAACTGGGACCTACATGTCTTTCTAACCCACTTCAGTTCCACCAAGACATCTCTTTGAAGTCCAAAAAGCTCACCAATATTTCTTTTTTAAAAAAATATATTTTTTATTGATTTTAGAGAGGAAGAGAGAAAGAGAGAGAGATAGAAATATCAATGATGAGAGAGAATCATTGATTGGCTGCCTCCTGCATGGCCCCCACTGCAACCCAAGCATGTGCCCTTGACTGGAATTGAGCCCAGGACCCTTCAGTCTGCAGGCTGACGCTCTATCCACTGAACCAAACCAGCTAGGGCACTTACCAATGTTTCTTACGGCTGCCTAGATTTCTAAATTTCCATTTTATGAAGAAATTGTAATTTATTTCATTTGTCTTCTTTGAAAGTCACATGAGTTGTTCCCAATTATTCAGTTTTACCCTAAAAATGTTGCAATAAATAATCTTGCACATATTTTTATGCACATGTTAGAGAGTTCCATCAGAAACAGCACTAGGAGGGGAACTGTGAAGCAGGCTGTGTAAGATGCGCTGAGTCATATGTAAACAGAAAACACAATAAAACTGAACCTATGTACAAATTCATTGTCTGATGTAACAAGAGTATGAGCCAGGTGGACCCAGAGTTTCAGTTCTACCTTTTTAATGGCCTTCAGTGAACCTGCAACAACTCCAAACCTTCCAAACAGGAGAGTCATGTTTATCAGAGATTTTGTTTCTGGAGATGTTTCCCACGGTCGTGCAAATTCCCCAGCAGTTCTGACTTTCCTATCCCACACCCAAGTCAAAATGCCCAATCCCTTTTAAGGGAAAAGACTTCATGATACAGAGTTTGTCATGGAGAATCGCCCTCACTATCTCATGACATCAGAGAGTTACATCCATTGGCTCACCAGCTCTCCTCCTTTCATCAAAATAAAGCTCCTCTCAGAAATGAAGGCACAGTTAACAGTTCAGGAGCTAGGAATCATTGCTCCCACTACCTCTTTTATTTTTTTATTTTTTAAAATATATTTTTATTGATTTCAGAGAGGAAGGGAGAGGGAGAGATAGAAACATTAATGAGAGAGTGTCAATGATCGGCTCCCTCCTGCACCCCCCCCTCCCCACTGAGCCCGCAACCCAAGCATGTGCCCCTGACTGGAATCGAACCAGGGACCTTCCAGTCCACAGTCTAATGCTCTATCCACAGAGCCAAACCAGCTAGGACCCCACTCCCTCTTTTACATGGATGAGCCTAAAGTACTCCCGTCAGGACAGTGGGATTTGACTTATTTTGATTGTGATTTCTGTTTAAGTTTTCCCATGCTTGTGTATCTCGGGGAGAAACAATTCATCCTCAATGGGTTAAATCACCTAAATCTTCCAGATGCTCCTCAGGAGATAGCATGACACTGTACTCCTCTGAGGTCTGTGTTATTTGCCCAACAAAGTATAGCCCCCAACCATCCTGCAGCCCTCCATGCAGTCTACTTCCAGGGCCAACTCTGGCGTCCGCTGGTATGGTTGGGACCCAGCTCGGTGGCTCTTGGGAACCAGGAACTCAAAGACATGACCTTGGGTCTTTCACTGTCTGTCTCTATCAGCCCAGCATTTCTCCCCAAAGTGCTTCCCTCAGTCGAGTGGCACATTGGAAGTCAATCAGTCAGGGGTTCAGTATGATTGACCTATGACACCAGTCACTTTCACCTCTCCCCTCCAACACATGGGAATGAAAGAAGTTACAGTGTCTCTAGGAAAATAGTCTTCTTCCCCAAGCCACCCACTTCCTGGGTTCCAGCTCCCTATTATCTATCTAGTTACTTGAGCTCCTTTCCCATCTCGGGACCCAGGGGAGTTTCAAACCAAATAAAGAGATATACAGATCAAGAAATAACCTTCATTGAACTGGGGATGGTGGAGTAGAAAAAAAAAGAAAATGGTGACTCACATGGGAGAAGGTGGTGTGAAATCAGGAGTCCTGCAAGGGCAAGTCTGGTCTGTTGGCCAAGGACATGAACAGAACTAATTGGGAGTTTCTTACTGAACCAGAGAAGTGGTAGTATGACATTTTT